AAGCACGATTCTTTAAAGATGAAAAGTGGGTTTTGCGAGATGCGTAGCAATTCAGATGAAAAATTTCCAATATTGTTGATATTTTTTAAATCAGTCTCAAATTCTTTAGTTGTAAAAATTTTCTATCAAAAATCTGAGATGGTAGGTTCCATGGCAGGAGATGAACTGATATGAAATGACAATAAAGGAAATTTCGGATACAGAATTTCGTGTCATGATATTATATTTTTCTTCATGTTATTTATTCTCAAGACAGAACATTTGAAGTGAATATATCATTTCGCTTTCACATTGTAAATGAAGAAATTAATAAAAAATAGGATATTTGAGAATTTTTCAGGTACACCACTTTAAATAAATTTAATTTTTATTTCTTCACAAAAAGTTAAAGCGTGATAAATATCAGAGAACGGGCAATTATTTTATTTTTAAATCATGAGTGCAAAAGGCGTTAAACTCTTTTTTTTTCCCCTACTTCATTGTTGTCGAATATTTTGAAACCCTCAAAGTGTTCCAGAATGAAAACTTTCAAGGACGATCACAAATGGCAATAAGGTATTAAAATCGATTTAATGATACGTTGTCAATTAAAAAGAGCTATTTCTCGTGAAAATACAAGGGTTTCATAATCTCATTTTGGATTAAAAAATATATATAATGAGATCAAAAGAGCAATACAACTGACATCACAAATCAAGAAAAAAAAGTATTTTGCAAGGAGGCAAACAATGAACTAATTAAAAAACGTTCAAATAACAAAAAGTTTCCACAGTTATTTAGGGAAACAAATGATCATTGAAATGAATGAAGAATTTGCGATTATAGAAATATTAAAAGTAGTTTCTGTAATTTTACATTAATTCTTCGTATTATTCAAATAAACCGGGAACTTCAACCCTATTTAAAACACTAGCAAGCTTAAAAAAATTACGGAGGGAAAAGGCTTCTGGTTTAGATGGCCGCTTATCGTTCTGGAAATTTAAATATTATTTTTTAACCATACAAGTATGATTCGTATTTTTAAATTATGTAGATTAATATACATGAGCTGCGATAATATTAATTTATCTATGTTCTGCCACATGCCAATAGAATTCCGAGCCCGAGCCACCTAAGATTACATAGAGGCCGAAATATACGTAGCATAAAAGCTAAATTTTGCGGTTTCGCTGCTCGGTCTTTGATGTCTAAACAAAAAAATTAATTATTAAAACTTTTTTATCACTAATTTGTAATAATAATAGAGCCAAACGTTTGTCTAAAAGTAGTAAAAAAGTTCATGAAAGTTTTACGTTTTAGTAAACGAACCCGCGTTGAAGCTTTCGGCATCTCTTAACTGCCGCCGACACAACTGGAAATTTTGTCTGAATAACAACATTGTTAACAAATGTCAACATTGTTAAAAAAATGCTAAACATTCTGTTATAAAATTGCTGATATTCTCTAAACATGTAAACACAAACGAAAGTAATTCATCACTTCTGTAAGCATTATTTCCTGGAAAATGTTATTAAGAATTTAAAAAAAGAGGGTAATCAAATTATTATAGTAATTTCGCCAGTACTATTACAGGGTGCGTAGCCAAATACTTCAACAAAAAATAAGAACCCTTTAAGTACTTTTTAAGCACTCAGAAATATTTTTAAGCAATATATACATTAACAAAATGAAAAATAATTTTCAAAGACTTTACATGATCATGATAAAATAACTAATTTCTGACAAAGAACTCTTTTCTTGATTATATTATCCACCATAAAATGATTGAGAGATTTTTCGGTTTGATTTCAGAGTGGAAAATGAAGCCTGAAATTGAGAATATCTTGCAAATGACTAAAAAAAAAAATTTTCTTTGACCAAATTTTTTTAGATGGTAGGAAAATTTAAATCTCTTCTCTTATACTTTTTATTCAACAAATATTTGAAACTATCGATTATTGAGTTTTGACTTCAAATTTGCTGTATGCAATCTTACATGATTTCGAAAGGCACAACAGAGAGAGAAGGAGGGAGGGAAAAAAAAAGAAAATAATGCGTTTTTTTTTCTTTCTATAAAAGAAAGTTAAGTGAAAAGAAGGGTGTAAAATAATCACGTTGCAAAAAAAAAAAAAAAAAAACTANAAAAAAAAAAAAAAAAAAAAAAAAAAAAAAAAAAAAAAAAAAACCTACAATTATCAACAGCTATTTTAAGAGCCATGGTGGCTCAAGAGATAGAGCAATCGCTCTTCCCAATGAGGTGACGCAGGTACGAATATCAGAGATGATTGGTCGATACAAATTCCACCCCCTACTCACATCGACCACTGTGCTGACGAAAAATATTCTCAGTTGTAAACGGATCGTGGGTTAGAGTTCCCTTGCCATCAAGCTAACCGTAGGAGGTCTTCCTCACCATGTGACGCAAATGCGGGTTAGTTCCATCAAAAATTCCTCCACGAAGCAAATTTATCCAAATATTTGACCCAGAGGCAATGGGGATAGAGCGTTCGGCTTCCAATGATGTGAAACGGGTTCGAAATCCAGCGATGGCTGGTCAATACGAATTCCGCATCTGGCTTGCACCGACCACAGTGCTTACGTAAAAATATCTTCAGTGGTAGATGGATCATGGGTTAGAGTCCCCCTGCCGTTAGGCTAACCGTGGTTTTCCTCTACATTTAACGCAAATGCGGGTTAGTACCATCAAAATGTCCTCCACGAAGGCAAATTTCTCCCAATACTTGGTCCAGAAGTTACCTTGACTTCTGGATTGGGTTCAAAATTACAAGGTTGAGGAGTTGGTTGAACATTAGTAGTCGTAAACCCGAAAATTGGGTCGGCTTTTCAACTACGGTTATAATTATAAAATTATAATACTTGATTCAGGAGTTTCCTTGTCTTCTGGTTTGGGTTCAAAATTTCAAGACTATGGAGTTGAAAGGCATAAATGTAAATATATCTTCCCTCACCACTTTTTTTTCCCCTCGTTTGTTTTAAAAGTGTCATATGTATTAAATACATTAATTTGAACAATGCTGGACTTTAAATTAAATTAATCTGCTACATAAGAAATTTCAAATTTTAAAAAGTGGGTGATTCTACAAAAAACTAACAATATCAAACAAAGGCTTGATATACAAAGTTATTTTTTATGCTATTAAGACATAATTTTCCCATGCATATAAAAATATTATTCATTTACAATTTCCGAACAAAAAGTTTTGAAATTCCTCTTGGCCTGGCCGAAACTTTTTTTTTTATCTTACTTAAAATTTTTACACCAGCATTTCAATAATAAACTATGTATACTTAAAGGTGTAAAATAATATTTTTCGAAACTGTTTAATCATGTAACTTATTGAGTTGTATCATTTAAAATTTTGTTCCAAGGTTTTCATGGGACTCTAAATTTAGTGGTTTGATTAAGTTTTTTTGAAGAATACATTGTTAAAATATATTGTTGATTCATTACTTTTATACAGTCTTGTACGTAGACCAAAAAAAAAAAACTTTCACTGCCACCACGTGACTGTGATATATTAAAAAATAAAATGCATAAATTGAAAGCGAACAATAAGATTTATTTAGCATAAAAAAGTAATTAAAATTCAGAGTCTGATACTGCTTTCCTTTAGAAAATCTTAAGTAGGTCAATGTTAAGGACGGTATCAGATGTAACAAGAAGGCATCTTTTACACAGCAAAATCTTCCCAATACTAACAAGCAGTTGTTTATTATTCACTTAATTCACGAGAAGCTGAACACGATTTTGAAATACCTTAATTAAAATAATGACAATCGGTTACTGATTAAGGCTATTAAAGATTACATCGACAATATTGTTCTTAATGCTTAAAATAGCGCGACACAATTATTGACTCATGCACACATTATAAATAGCACGAAAGAATTGTGAATAGAAGATGGCGTACTGTTCTGATACGCATACTAAATGTATCCCAAAATTGATGCAAGAAGTAATTTTACTGAAAAACCAGTTTTTCGTTGAAAATAATGAATTTTATTAGTTATTCATGAAGTATTAAGTATGGGGTTATAACATGGTACAGCTGATTAGGGTTGGCACGGTATTTACCACGTGATTTTTCCCTTAGTTTTAACAGTTTTATAAGAAACATGTTTCTTCCATAATTTTTCATCTTCAGAAATTATTGTGTGTGCTATTTCTTAAAAGACGTCTTAAAACCTCTTAACGTCTTAAAAAAAAGTGTATACATATAAGGCAGCATTGAAACAAGAATTCGGAGCATTGTTGAAATATTCTTGTAAGCATTGAAGTACAATATATGACTGTTTTAAGAAATAATGGTCGAAGAATTTTCGAAAATTTTGAAAAACAAAACAAGGGGTTAAATAATAGTTAACGCTCTAAATTAAAAAGTAATTAAGCTATTATGAAATATAATCAAGAAAATGTTTTCAATTATTAATCAATAATCAATAAACAATTAAAAAAATAACCACTTTCTTTCCATAAACGTGCTAACATGTTTAAAAAAACAATAGGGAAAAATATTCTTATACACTGCTTAACATTTTAATTTATTGTACAAATAAAAATTTAATATCAAAATGTTGTATTAGTAATGTATGTAAAAGAATGAGATCCCATTTGCTTGTCAGTATATATGAAAATGTCATACTTACATACTGTCATACTGACTTAATGTCAACATTTGTATTAATTTAATTTAGAAAACAATCGTGATTTTTTTTTCAGTTGAGTTAACTTAAAGGAGTATAGAATAATGATAAAGACTGAAGAAATAAAATCGGCTGCATACTGCATGCAGATATACAATAAAATGGAGAAGTAAAGGTGTTTCAGTACCTTTACTTCTCTATTTTATTTCCGTTTATGTATATCTATGTATATAAAATTTCGCGTCACCCTTTTCTAAAAAAAGATTAACTTTTAAGAACTTCTTCTAAGGAAGTTTCAAAGTTAAAGGATTTCAAAAAGTAATTAATATAGAAATATTTCAAAAATTAAAACTTACCCTTGTTACAATAACCATGATTCCTCAATGCCTTGTTATTGCTACCTAAAAATAAAAATTCATTACAATACAGGTCAAATCAAAATAATATCTTTCTGAGACTAATGGCAGAAAATTTTAATTTTACTCAGAAATAATGTAGCTTAAAAGAAAATAATCACATTAAAAAAATTTTTTTAATTATAACGTAAAATATTATACATTTTAATTTTTAGCACTTTTTACGTATTGTGGGTTAAATTTATAGTGTATTTTGGTCATGAAACAAAATCCACACGACTCAAAAAAAGAGATATACCATAAAACTGTCTAAGAAGTTACTTGAATAAAATTTCTTATCTCTCTTATAATTTTTTATTGTAATATTTAAAAATTCTTTACTAAGGTTATTATTCACTTTATTAACGTTACAGCAAATTTGAATGAAATTATGGATTAACAGGATCGAAATTTCTAACAGTGTTTGATAACTAAAATTCCAGAACTCATTTTCCGATATGGATTATAATCATTACATCGTGTTCCATATTTACGTAGGTCTTGAATAATAACCCATTTATTCATTTATCTTGTATCTCATTGGTTCCAGAGATACTTCCGACACATTTCTTTCGTTTTCCACTATTTTTCCGTCAGACTTAGTTTCTAACTTAGACTTAGTTCAGCGTAGCTTTTCCAGAGTATGTAACGTCATATATATTTGGCGTAACACAGCCAAGGCTGATTCAAGTGCAACATAATTTTACATCGAATCCAATTTTATTTTTTAGGTAAGGGGCCATTCACAAATGTTGTCCTACTTAGGGGAAGAGGATACACGTCATTGTGACAATTAGTAACGGAGGGGTTACAAAAAGTGTGACAACGCATATTTAAAAAAAAATATTTAAAAAAAAAATCAGTTTTTTTTTTGGTCGTATGCTTGTTTAGGCAGTGGGGGTGCGATTGTTCCTGTTTTCCAGTGGCTATGGAGTGGTTATCAATTCAACTTATTCAGTTATCAAAAAGAAAAGAAAAACATATTTTCGTTGCAGATATAAAATATTTTCCATAAATATATGGGTGTTCCATAAATATATTTTTTGAGGACGCTATCACGATTTAGAAATCTGGTCATCATATGTGTGATATATACACGAACGCGCGAACGCCGTTCGCGGGAAATTTGTTACCATAACGGAAATTTTTTATAAGTTACTAAAAAAAAGAAAAACGGTCAAAGGCGCGCAGGTCAATCTAGCAGAAAGGTTCTTTTTTAGATTTTTTTCCCCCTCTGCTTCACGCAGCCGCACTTTTCCCGCGATTTCGTCATAGCATTTGACTTTCGGCCATGCTGGTATCCAATAATGAGTTTTTCGCTTTTTTTTCAATTTAATAATAAAAAAATATGCCTTTTCAAAGAAAGCTCGCCTTCATCAAATTCTTCTTAAGGAAAAAAAAAATCATCGTTTTTAAGCTTTTTTATTTCCTACCAATGCATATGCGATTTAAAATTACATTCACATGATTAAAAAATCACACATCGTCATAAGTTTTTGCATAATTTATTCTCTCACATCGCTATTCATATTTAAGCGATTTATGATCGCGGGTAGTGTTTTAACGATTTTATATCAAATATTACGTTTCATATTGCAAATTAAAAGCCACTATTATGATTCGTGTTCAAGTGACTTGAAAATTATACATCGGAAATTCATATTCATGCGATTTTAAAATCAAACATCGAGATTCATATTTGCATGATTTAAAGAACATCCATATAGATTCATATTTACACAATTTAAATAAATAAAATTCGATATTTTTATTAAAATGTTGATAACATTCTGTGTTCATGCTTTCCTACATAAACTTTTTTTGCTCAAATTTCAGGTATTGTTTCAATTATTTAAAAAAAAATTTGGCACAATTTAGGGCTTCTATTTTCATCATTTTTTTTCTTTCGGTTTTTTATCAAACTCCTCTCTGCAGTATGATTCAATATTGAGTTTGGTAAAACTAATAATTTAAAAGAAGAAAAAAATCCTTGATTTTCAAACAAATTTCGCCAAAATGAAAGGGAAACGAAAGAGATGTTGAAACTAGTTACAAGAGTTAAACAATTGCTTGCAGAAACTTTTTTTAATTGTGATTTTGTGTTCGCAGAAAGTTTTCAATTTTATCTAACTTAACCGACATGTTAAACATAAGATAACAAACATCCCCCATTTTCATAAAACAGTGATTTTTCTTCATATTGACAATTCGCGTATTTTTATAAACATAAAGGACACTATCTAGAGATGGACTAAAATTAACATAATGCTTATGAATACTTATTGTTGCAAACTCACACTAATTATAAAAATATTTACACGCAAAAAGCGTTTTTTATTTGATGACTGAGTTTTCGAAGAACAACCTTAATTTGCAACCACAAGATGGGCTTTTAAGGTTATCATTGACCGTTTTATGCAAAATGCACTTGGATCTTTCTTTCACTAGAAAAACACTCAAAGACTGATACTTAGTACCTTCCTTCAGTGGGATCGCAAAATTTAAAGATATAGCAAAATAAATTGTTTAATTAAATTAGATCTTGACAAGAAAAATCGTAATTTGTTTCTCACAAAAATGGCAATTAATAACCTTTCCTACTAAGTTCTTCACTTATTTAGAGGATATTTTCGTATTGGTACCTGTTCGAGCCAACTATTACCGCCAAGACGCTAAAAGTTTTTTGAACTTGCATAAATTTTCGAAAAAATATTGAAACTAAATTTTAAATCAAATGTTGTTCAAACTCACCTTTTTAGAGCTTAACTATAAATGAAGACACCAAGTTTTAAAAATTCCAAAGTATTTCCTTCAAAAGTTTCATAATGATCACACAAAAAAGTACATATTTAAGTTAGTTGATGTAATAATATGTTCCATTTTTAATGTTATAATAACATTAGATTTAAGTTCCTCCCACCTCTGCTAGGTAAACTCAACTATTGTAAAACTTCATCAGTTCTCCTTCAATTTAAGCAGTCAAATTAATTTGAAAACTTTCATTTCAGTTAAAAATTATTTATAACTTGTTTAGTCGCTAAATTGTAAAAAAGATTCGCCTTCTTTCGTCTTCCTTATATTAGAGAGAAAAAATCGTCACGCAAAATATGTATAACAAAGCAACAAAGCGAAAACTACTAAATTTAGGGACACACGCTGTAAGACTTCTTTATGGAGCGATGTGTAATGAATAAAAACTTAATTATAGCATCTTTTATCACTTTTTCTTCAAACGGATGAAAGCAGACACTTGTTTAAGATAATTCCTTTTCGCGTTAGCAATTCGTTACATCTAAAATATTTTCCTAACGAAACATACATACTGCAGGCAGTGTTTTTACGTATTTAATGAATTCACATTTTTCTAAATCATTAACAATCTGTCATAAAATAAGAAGATTGATATCACTGGCAGCATTTGAAGAAATAATCAAATTGGAATCACTAATAACAGTTAATGAACTAAGCACTTAAAAATCAACGGCAACCATTCAATAAAGATCTCAAAAATCACCGACAACATTTATAAAGTAAAACTTAAAAATCACCGGCAACATTTATAAAGTAAAACTTAGAAATCACCGGCAACATTTATAAAGTAAAACTTGGAAATCGCCGACAACATTTATAAAGTAAAACTTAGAAACCACCGGCAATATTTAGTATAAATTAAATAACTATATAAGTCACATGAAAAACGTCACTTATCACGACATAAACGAAACACAACTACAGATGGCACACATTCCAGGAATTCAAGCAACCACGCAGACCATATTGACAGTTATTCGAGCATAAGCAAGACTGACACCAGAAATAAAAAGATGAGATGCGACCAATTATTTAAGCTGAACTTTTTCGAAGCATTCAGGGTCAATGTTAGAATCATTTTGCTACTGGACACCTTGGAGCAGGACGATGACCTCGGATGCCGCAGGGTTATGAAGCCTGTTCCGAAACCGAGAGGAAAGAAAAATATTTTTTTTTTTTCAATTATGAATCGTAATGTGATGGCAAATTTACCTCAGAAAAAACATGAAACACTTTCTATCCGGCTTTGATTCCTCAGTAAAGATTATAGAAGCGGTTTTTTAAAATAAACAGGTGACAGCTAAACAATGACTGAAACAAATTTTGGGATGGATTATGCTGTTCAAAAAGAAACTAACACCAATTACTTTTATTTGATAATGTTAGTTAAAATTTTTGGTCATAATTAATTAAATTAATTGTACGACTAATGATTAATATCTAATTTCTTTGTGTATAGTTTTTAATATGATATATAATATATAACTTAATATAATATTAAGATATATAATACAATATATGTTTTTTTATCTATATAAATTTTCTCAACTATGTAATTTTTACATTTTTGTATCATCACAAGAAATTAATTATAATTAACAATTCAATAATTACTGAAACTATCCTTGCGATAGATTATGCTGTTCAAAAATTAACTAACACCAATTACTTTTATTTGATATATTAGTTTAAATTTTTGGTTATAATTAATTAAATTAACTGTACAACTCTAATGATAATTAATATATAATTTCTTTGTATATAGTTTTTAATAAGGTATATAAGATATGTAAACCTTAATATAATATTAAGATACATAATAATAATACAATAAATGTTTTTTTATCTATATAAATTTTCTGAACTATGCAATTTTTACATTTTTGTATCATTACAAGAAATTAATTATAATTAACAATTCAATAATTACTGAAAATAGAAGAGCAAATATAATAATTAATGAAAATAGAATAAACCAGATATAGTCTACGCTTTTTAGTACGACTCCTGTTATTACGACCCTTCCATTATAACGACCGATGAAGACTCGCTTGCTAGTCCATAGACGCAATTTTATTCTAATGCTCCTTAGAATATCCGTTCATTCCATTATAGTAGAAATTTGCTAACCAATTATTTACTGAAGTATACAAAGGACGATTTTTCGACATTCGGCTAACAATGATTGACTAAAA